TTGATTTTGTATGCAGATTCCAATTCTTCAAAAGCTTTTTGTATCGGCATTCTTAATTTCAATTCCGTTGTCCGACCTTAGACACTTTACTTTTCTTCCAATTGATTTTCCACCATGTTCAAGTAAATACAAAGTTTGGAGGCCGTTTCATCTCTCGTTTTCAGAAAGTATGCCGTTCGAAAGTGCGAATAGTCATCCTTAAATAGAAGGATGACTATTCGCTTTTACTGATCCCCGCCTTCGATTTACGCGTGAAACACTAATTTAAAAACAAACAATATTTTTTTTTCTTTATTATTACCGGTTTGTCACTTGTCGCGGGTGGGATAATAATGAGTCAATGGGGTTTAATTAACAAACCTATATATTTAACACCAGAATAACACCATTGATTTAACAAGACAAGGCTCTCTAGACCGATCAAAGGCCGACCAGAATAGTTGTACGAACTCGAGCTTCCGTACTGATCTCGAGTAAAAACCGAACGATTCGTACGCTATGGAGGTTTGTCTCACACACACTGTTCGCGTAAAGTCTCGGTTCGAAATGGCTTCGAGCTTGGAGAACGTCCGCGTGGTTGAAGGAGTATCTATAAGAGACACTAATTGTTCTAGTTTCACAAAACTTCACTTTATTTGCCACTTAACAAAAGATAAGCGAAAAAAAAGCTGAACACCTTGCGCGGGGGCGCAACAAGATTTCGTTTCGTCTTGATTTATAGGAAATTTTAACACCTTAAGGATCGAAACGTAATATAAGAGCGAGTCGCGTAATTACTCGATCGTCCTCAAAACGAGAGTGAGTGCCGTCAACGCGCGACACTCGCGATGCTCCCCTTCCCCGCCTCGCCCATCGCTCCTAGCTCCTCGATCCACCGAGCACGACGGGGAGATCAGGGAAGAAGGCAGAGGCGGACAAATAGAGACCGAAATAATATGACACGAATGCTTAAATTTAAATCCGTTCAATAACGGACATGCCGCCCGCCTCGTCCGGTCGACGAAATACAAGCTGGTTAGCTATCTATAAGCTAACTATAAACAGAGATTGATTGGCAACTACTCTAATTTAACGATAAATAGAGACAAACTTAGAATAATTGTTCGCGACTCATAACATAAAATCAAGAAGAAAACAACAAACAAAAAAAAAACAAATTTAAATACAATAAGAAATTAATAGACGACGTGGCGTCTCCGCGAGCATCACGCCTCCGTCAGGGCAATGCCGCGTCCAGCTCCATGTCCGCGTCAGGCGGTGGTCCAAGTTCCTTGGAGGAACCGGGTCCGGTGCGATCGGCAAGGGACAGATTTTAGCGACGGGCCGCTTCAGCTCCGTCGCTGCCATGCGGATCGTCACCACGCGCACGCAGCCGTCCGGCCCCGGAAAGACTTGGACGATCCGACCCAGTGGCCACTTAGCCGGCGGCAGCAGTTCGTCCTTCACCAAGACCAGCATGCCCGGCGTAAGGTTGGTCCGCTCTCGGGTCCATTTGGAGCGTTGCTGCAATTGATGCAGGTACTCTTCGTGCCATCGTTCCAAAAGGACTCCTTGATTGCGGAGATCAACCGCCAGCGCGATGTTGGATGGAGATCGGACACCGGGACCTCCGGTATAGTGCCGAGTGCTTCGCCCACGAGGAAGTGACCAGGCGTTAGCGCCACCAGATCCGTGGCGTCTGCGCTTAACGGACTCAGCGGTCTCGAATTAAGGCAGGCCTCAATCTGGCATAGCAGCGTCAATAGTTCCTCGTAGGTCAAGGCATGGTCCCGAGAATGCGGCGCAGATGATGCTTGACCAAACGGATCCCTGCTTCCCAGAGGCCTCCAAGTGAGGAGCCTGAGGCGGGATAAACCTCCATTCGGTCCCGTCGCTGGCTAGCACTTCTCCGGCCTCTTGTAGAAGTCGGAGGCGGCACGGAATCTGGCTCTCAATTCGGCGTCAGCTCCCCGGAAATTAGTCGCGTTGTCGCTGAGCAGCAGACGGCAACGACCTCGACGGGCAATGAATCGGCGGAATGCTGCAATAAACGCCGGTGTCGACAGGTCCGATACGGCCTCCAGATGCACGGCCCTGGTTGCTAGACAGACAAAAAAACAAATATAGTCCTTGCTAGCAGCGTGGCCTCGTCCCTTGTGGGCTCGAATACGCAGAGGGCCTGCGTAGTCAACCCCCGCCGATGCAAAGGGTCTGGTGGAGCGTACGCGCTCCGGCGGCAGCTGACCCATCTTTTGTTGCGCTAGTTCCGCGCGGAAGCGGGCACAGCGCACGCAGTCCCGGGCGATCCTTTGGACCCGAGTGGCCACCCCCACGACCCAGAAGCGACGGAGAAGATAGCTCCGCATGAGTTGAGGGCCTCCATGCAGGGTCGCCGTATGCGCGTCGCGAAGGACCAGCTCGGTAAAGTAACCCTCTTTCGGCAGTATTCGGGTGCTTTTCTGAGAAGGGCAGGTGAGCCGATTGAAGTCGACCGCCCACTCGTAAGGACCCATCCTCGTCCAAGAACGGGCTTAATGCTCGCAGAGACGAGCCACCGGGCAATAGGCCGCCCGCCGTAAGCGCTCCCAGCTCTCCTGGAAACTCCCTTCGCTGCGTCCGCCTCACCATCACAGATAGAGCCACCTCCAACTCGGCGCCGGACAGGAAATCGCTTTGGTCCCTCATACCTCGAGCCTTGTGATAGAACCTGTAACAGTAGACTACTACGCGTACAAACCGCGTCAAAGTGGAGAATCTCCCTTCAAAGAGATCCTCCGGATTCTCTGGGACGGCCAGGTGCACCGCCCTTTTTTCTTCTTCCTCGTGATGGGCACCGAGGTCACCCACCACAGGCCACGCGGTGGTTGGTCCCCGAAGCCAGACGGGGCCTCTCCACCACAAGTCTAAACCAAGAAGCTCCGAGACCGGAATCCCCCTGGTTGCCACGTCAGCCGGGTTTGATGCAGTCGGAACATGTCTCCACCGTTCGCCCGGTACCAGACTCTGTACCTCTGCCACTCGATGCGCCACAAACGGTCGCCAGCGCGACGCATGGGAACGCAGCCAACAAAGGACGACCCTAGCATCTGTCCAGGCAACGACAGGCACGTCCTCCAAATCCAGGTCATGAGCCACCCGGTGCAGCAAGCGAGCCACTAGAACAGCTCCGCATAGTTCCAAGCAAGGCACACTTTGCTTCTTGACCGAAGCCACCTTGGCTCTGGCAGTCAGCAATGTCACCTCCACCCGGCCATCTCGCTTGGTGACCCGGACATAGACGGCAGTAGATATACTATGGGGGTTCTAACCCAGGGGCAATGAGGGGGGGTGCGGGGCGGGGGAATCGGGGGCGAGGAGGGTGACGTCACGCGGGGGAGGGGGTCTTATCAGTAGATAAGCTTATCTTTTGTTTATAAACATATCAGATTACCTGATAAGGGGATCATATTACCTGATAAGGAGATCATGTTACCTGATATGTTTATAAACAAGATAAGATAAGGGGATCATGTTACCTGATATGTTTATAAACAAGATAAGATAAGATAAGCGGCGTCTTTGAGCGGTATCTATTACAAGATAAGATAAGCTTGAGCGATATCTAAGTTTTCATAAACAAGATAAGATAAGATAAAAATTCTACAAATGGCTGCCGCCGTTTCTTAATCCAAGCGTGGATCGAGCGCCGACAATTGGATATCTAAGTTTTCTCTGAAAATCCAAGATAAGATTATTACAGCGATATCTATACAGCGATATCTATTACAGCGATATATTACAGCGATATCTAAATTTTCTCCGAAAATCCAAGATAAGATAAAAATAATTCTGCGAATTATTAAGAACAAAAGGTTTGCCGACAATCAAGCGGGTTGATACATGATCCATACAGATTGCGACATGTCAATCCAGGCTTGGATCCGACGTGTCAATCCGACGGGGTGAAATGAAAGGTAACGGGCAACCTTATCTATGTATTTCTAAGAATTATTAGCAATATCTAAATTTTCTCTGAAAATCCAAGATAAGATATTGCACAAATATTTCTCGCAAATTAACAATTGCATCATCATCCCACGAACAAAGGGATGATCGGGATATATAATGAGGACCGATGCAGCTGCCGGGCCATAGTACCACTGGCGAGCGCACGCTCTCTTCATTCGGGGTGCAGAATGTTTGTAATACTATCAAGTGCTTCCGACATTCTCAGTTTAAGTGTGCCGAACAGTTACAATATATTCCGAAGATTGTTTTACTGCAAAAGTGCGGATATTTCGTAGAGCATTTGTGGGAAAAACTGCCGGAGCACATTAAGACGGATCCGGAGGTTCAGACATATCGTCGCTGCCTCGAACACTACAATCGGCCGTGGATGCGAACGCATATTGACGGTCCAGCACCGATGATCAGGGATTGCAGCAAATATCAGCGAAATAGGCTGAAGTTACAAGTGTAACACGTGTGAAAAAGTGATAGACATCAAAAAAATGGAGAACGCGGTAAAAGATCATTCGAGGTGTTTTGAGAATGTTGAGAGATGGTATAGACATCTCGATGAATGCTATTATGATGAAAAAAAAGATGACCCGTTTCATTTTAAACGTGAAGCGGTGACTTCGGTTGTGCAATTCGTAAGAAATCGCGAACTTGGTGTGCACAAACCGCATACAAGAGATGTTGCCTATTTCCTGGAAACGCACGAAGACATTTTAAGAGTGACTGGTGGGTTATCCAAATGCACCAGATCGTCTAAACGACACAAGCGAGTCGCATGTTATCAGCGTCGCTACAAAAATTGTGCAGAATATTTCACTGTGAACAACCTTTATTTTGCCGACATGGATATGCCTTCACCATCGGTATCATGCAAAACACAATCATCTGATTATGATTCGGACCAAGAAATAGAGGAGTCAGATAGGAGAGAACCGAGACCATCACCATTGTCGTCATCATCATCATCGTCAGATTACTTGTTGCAGCCTATTTATTTGTCTGATTAAATAGGTGTACAACATATGTGAAGAGTATGTCAACGTTTCTGAGAGTAGATATGATGACTTCGCGGAAGGTGTAAACATGTCGATAGACAACAGCCGCTATTTTTTGTTTTGGCGAAGATCATCTTTCGGAGATAATAGCAAATCTTTCGGAGATAATAGCAAATCTTTCGGAGATAATTGCATCATACGTTGAAGAACAAAGGGATGATCGGGGATATATAATGAGGATCGATGCCACTGCCGGGTCATAGTACGGTGACAGTTGCGAGCATAGTAGTGACTCGAGAATAAATTGTTTTTTGTGATAAAAAATGGAGAACGCAGCGCGTAAGAGCGACGAGAGATGGAGGTGGTCGTCGTCCCGGATGACGAGATGGAGGTCATAACCATCTCGACGACGACAGCGAGAGCGACAGTGATGGTGCGATGTACGACCCTGTGTACGACAGGGAGGCGAACAACGTCCTGGATGACATTGAGGAGATGGAGGTCGATATCGTACCCATTGATGAAGACGGCGATGACGATGACGATGACGATGATGATGAAATGAAGATGAAGATGAAGATGACGATGGGTACGATAGTGACAACGCTGTTCGGGAGTCGTGCAGCTCCCGCATGTATGGCATACGCGCCACTGCATCCCTCGACGAGACAGCGAGGGTATGCACTGTGGCGTCGTATGTCATGGCATTTGCCGCACCATGGGGGTCGGTCAGGATCTGCTTTCGCTGTTTCGTGAGAAACAGGGGCAGATTCCTGAGCATCACAACCATCGAGGGACACACTACATCGCGGTACACAGATGTACCCGAACTGCGTTGCGATGATTGCCAGGAAAGACTATACGTGTTCTACCTGGCCAACGCTTGTCCCACCTGTCAAGGACGTGAGTATATATATATATATATAATATATATATATATAAAATATATAAAAATATTAAATTATTATATTTCTATGTGCAGATGCCGAGTCCGATGACAGCGACGGTGATGCGACCCTTTCTCTCGCTGTCCCGTCAGGGCTGTAAGTATATTAAAATACCCAAAAAAAAAAAAATCTATAAAATATTAAATTATTATTATATTTCTATGTGTAGATGCCACTACCTCGAGCCGCCACATCGCGCGCGGTTCCGCTCTCTCTCTCGTCGGCTCTCTCTCTCGTCGGCTCTCTCCGCTCACTCTCGCGTCACCGTACAGAAGAATTATTTTTATATTTTTTATATTTTTATATTTTATATTTTTATTTTATTTTTATATTTTATATTTTATTTTTTATATTTTTATATTTTTATATTTTTTTATTTATACATATATTATTTTTATTTTTTATTTACACACACAGTAGAGAGGGTTTGGAGTCGTTAAATACCGCGAAAGTGACGAACCGTGGGGTCCTATCTCTACTGAAACACATGTACAAGTACACACACGCATACACACATGCACATACACTGACATATGAGGTGTAAATCCACCGGCAATTTCCACGCGGTACACCTCGGGTAATGCTAATGCCGGCGGTAATGTAATAATTAAGAATAAAAATATATATTTAATAATATACCAAAATGTTTATTAATTTAAAACTGTTTCCCTCCTCGATATCCTTATAAAATAAGTACAAAAAATAAAAAAATATGTATAAAAAATAATGTACAAAAAAAATTAAAATAAATGTACAAAAAATAAAAAAATTGGATATATATTAATGATCTAGAAAAAAAGAAAAAAATGTACAAAGAAAAAATAATAATGTACAAAGAAAATAATATGTACAAAGAAAAAATAATGTACAAAGAAAAAAAATAATAATGTACAAAGAAAAAAAATATTGAATAAAATATACATTTTATTAAAAAAAAAAAGTTTTTCCTCCTCTCGCCACAGCATCCCTCTCCCGCCAAAATCCAGGCTTGGATCCCGAGCCGCCGACTCTCTCGCCGCAGGCCCGAGCCGCGGACTCTCTCGCCGCGCGCATCTCTCACCGCCCGAGCCGCCGACTCTCTCGCCGCGCATCTCTCGCCGCCCGAGCGCCGACTCTCTCGCCGCCGCATCTCTCGCCGCCCAGCCGCCGAATCTCTCTCGCCGCCGCATCTCTCTCGAATGCGTGGTCTTCTTTCTCTCTGTCTCTTAATGTCGCGTGCGCTCTAAGATAAAATTATCGATTTCTCTCGCTGAGGCTTGGATATAACAATGTCCTTGACACAATAATTATCTCTCGCAAAGTATGTAACGGGTGGCGCGCAAATAAAGTACACCATGATATATACATATAAGTATTTATTCGTCTTATATTTAATACATAATTATATATAAAGTTTTATTACATATTAAAAACTAAAGCCACCAGCTCGCAATCGACAAGTTGGTGCATGTTGAAGGCATTGCTAGCGCGTATCGCATTCGACAATTCTCTCGCATTCGTTACAGTGGATGCAATATTGGAGAATTGAGTATATTTGATATCAACCGTTGCGACGAGCCTCGTCAATCGATCGAACATTATTTCGATACATGAATCGAGCTCGAACATACGATGTAACGTCGATTCGACCATCATCATGCGCACGTCCGCTGATTCGAGACTTATGAGCTTGGTGCCGTTTATCTTGTGAAATCGCACTGTTAGCGGCCCGACACTTATGCAATTATACACATCGTTGTTGGAGGAGGAGTCATTGTTCAGGTAATTGTGAATAGCGTGGCGTTGCTCGTAGAGTCCTTTCCACGTTTCGAGAGATAGTAATAGCTGTTTTCCCCGATGATCTCCTATGGCGATCTCCACGTAACTCGGCGGATCCACTCTGATGCCGATTTCGAGGAATTTGAATTCCGTTGCCGTCAATGCGTATCGTCTTCCAAGTATACGAACCGCACGAGGCTCCAGCGAAACGCTGTAAAAATTAGAGAAAAAATTATAACTCGATAAAAAATATAAAATAGAAAATAGAAAAAAGAAAAAATATAAAATATAAAATATAAATAAAAAAAGTTATACTTACTCGTCGCATTTCTTCTCGCACGTTTCATCATGTCTCGGCATGTAGTAATTCATGCTGCTGTTGCTTCTTTGAACCGAGGTATTAAAAAGTGAACCGTCAGTTAGAACGGTCGACGAAAGACTGATTGTATAAAAAGTACTAATAATCGAGTAACGATCATTTTTAAAATATTAGGAGAAGGGGATTCTTAGAAATATATCTGGAGAAAAGACAAATTATTAAAAGTAGTGGGGGTAAAAGAAATTCTTAGAAATACGATTGCGTGAGAAATTTTTAAAAGTAGTGGGGGTAAAAGGAATTCTTAGAAATATCTGGTTAGGAAAAATAACAAAGAGAATAGTATGTAAATAATATGTTTATTCAAAAAACGGATGATCGTCGCGATTAGCCGACCACCAATTGAATAATTTAAATACATTTTGTAACGCGCAATTTTTTACATGTTTATTACATCGTAGAGTATATGTGGGATCTAATTTATTTAATGCAGGCACATCTTCATATATGGCATCCAAGGTCTCAATCATGAAACCGCTGCACGCATCGTCCACTATTTCGGCAAGCCACTCTCGCTTTTCGAGTCCTTTTACATACACGAGAGAGGACTCTTCCTCCTCGTCTTGTTCATTTATGCCATTGATAGCTGCCGTGATCAAGCGCTGAGCCATGCAGTATGGAACATTTCCTCCCATTGCAAGCTGTGATGATGCTGAGTTATCCACGGCCTGGCGCCTTTCCGACTTTATAAGCACGCTCCACGGCACAGGGCATGCGAAGAAATAGTGCGACAGGATATATCCTCTTCTCAGGATTGCCGCTTCCTTCACGATAAATCGCTTGTTTAGGATAAATCCTTGCAGGTCGACAAACGTTGGTGCGGACATGATCTCTTCGATGTGAGTCAGTCGAGAGGTATTACTTCACTAACATCAGACATCTCGCATCATCATGATTATGTATCCTCCTCCTCCCCTCCCTCACACGCGTAGTTGTGTAAACATTTTTAGGTGATTTTGCGCACAACGTTGGTCAACGGGTTGTACTGGATCACGCGATCGTGCATGATGAGACAATACGCTGTGGTATTATTAGGTATTTCCTTACACTCAAATTCCAATCTCACATCCACCGTTGCGCTCTTGACCGATTCGTTTTGTCGAGAACAATCGATAATCACAAACGGACCGTTTTGTAAAAACCGTGTGATGGTGAGGCTCGGCTCGAGATACTCGTATCCGTAATAATTTTTGCAGAAACGCGCATACGTGTCATACAGAATCGACCATCTGTTTCTATCGAAATCCAGATTCATATCGTCGTACGGATAACATTCCGAGTTCAGATAGAGTTTCACGTTGGTTAATTTACAGTTGTCGAATCGACTCGTATCCTCGGACATGACATTTTTACCCTGTCTGCAGAGCAAAAATTACATATCGCGGCTTCTCCAGTTGAGTCGCGGTCTTAATGGCCCACGAATGCTTGGTCGTACGCTGCAATAGCGGAAATTCGTATAGATCCCACGAGCGGAAACCCATGCTGAGGTAACGTCCGCTTTCCAGAGCGCGCAGCATCGACAGCTTCTTAATCTCGCTCAACAACACGTGTGGCATTCGCCATTGTATCTTGAATATGTTGATCACAGGCTCCAGTGCAGAATTTCCATACAGACAATTATTGTCGTTGCGCGCTCGTATTAGGATCAACTCATGACGCGCATTAATAACAACGCGTTTGTAATCCTCGCAAAATCCCAGCAACATGTGCAGCGGTACGCAAAAATTAAAGTATCCATTCACAGTAGTCGGGCTATCCCAGCCTGCATTTCGCATAATCACGCTTCTATCGGATGACATTGTTACATAGTTTTTCAGCAGACTTGTTATTCCCACATTCCTGTTGCGATCAATCTCCACACCATCGAGCTCGTAGCGAATTTCGTCAAAC